AACCCGCGGCTCTTTCATCCTTATACTGCGGCTCTGAGTGGCTTTGGAAAATAAATTGCTAAAAAAAAAAACTAAGTATTTCATTTAAGTCAGTGTTTCCCGCCGCACTATCTTGGCGAGGTTGGCAACAGTTTTTTGTTTTAAATGTAACTAAGTAACTTTTACTTAAAATACATTTTAAATTAGCTACTTATTACTTTTACTTGAGTAATTTTTCTGATGGGTAATTTTACTTGTACTTCAGTAATATTTCATCCACGTATTGGTACTTTTACTTGAGTATGATATCTTAGTACTTTTTCCACCTCTGCTGAACACTCACATCATAAACATAGAAGCCCAGGTATACAGAATGGTTCAGATCTAATCCCATTCTTAAGTTATAACGTCCTAGTCAAAGTCCCTAAATAAAAATCCCACTGAGGATTTGTGGTAAAGTCTAAAATAAACAGAATCAATGCCTACATTTCAAATTATTTTTGAATGAAGTAGGATTTGTGGTTTCCGGGGGGGAGCGTACCTTGTCGATAACAGTGGTGAGGTGCTGGGTGCAGGACAGAGACTGGAAGAGCTCTATGCAGAGCAGCGAGGACACGGAGCTGGGCAGCATGTGCTGGATGGTGCTGGGTGACGTGGCGACCCCAAAGATGAACACCAGGGGGAGCCGGTGAATGTAGCGACTGGGGGACAAAAATGGCAGAGGTTTGTTTTCCTCCCTGAGTGAAGTTGGCCCCCCCACCTTCTTCAAATCAGACAAAATTAGTGTCAAACGTTTGTGCAGCAAAAATTTTCGTTTGTGCCGCTTTCATTTTAAAGATATAAAGAGATGTTTCTAGAGGTCAAAGGTCAACCAGCCCCCCCACTTTCTTCAAATTAGACAAAATGGGTGTCAAACGAAAATTTTTGCTGCACAAATGGAGCCGAGTTAATTGACACCCATTCCATTTGATTTTTATTTCTCATTTTATTTTGTTAACCAGTTCCAGTGTTAAGTGTTCTGTTGAAAATAAAGTGTGTTTATCTTGGGCAGGAAATCGCATGCTTTATTATGTCATTTCTATTAAATCAGTGTAAAAAAGGTCTTCAAACAATATTATCATTTATCGCAATAATCTTTGAGACAATTAATCTTTCTGCAAAATTTGTTATCGTGACAGGCCTAGTTGCAGATGTTTTTGATTAATGCCTAATATTTGAGCGTGGTCTGCACTTTGTTATTCCACGCTACAATGCAAAACCAGAAACTAGCTGTGGGTCTAGATACGGCCAAGGCGGTGAGGAAGCGGGGGCAAGTTTGTGCGACAACGGAGGGAAATGGGGGCGAAGAAATAGCGGGGATCCAGGTGGATAAATAATCCCAGCGTTATCGCGCACCTCGCTCTTCTAGCTGGTCTATCTTACGAGGTGTTTTCCATGATGCCGGTCATTAAGAGGTCAGGTCAGGGTAAATAGAGGGGCAGTGAGGGAAGACTGCATCATCCCCCGGAGAAAACCAGCCTTTGGTCAGGCTGTCTTCTCCATAAGAGCATCTCAACAATGGAACACAGCGCCAGAAACCATCAGAGACTCTTTGTCATTCTTTTCATTCAAAAAGAATGCAAAAAAATTGCCAAATTTGTGGGCACTAAGGTTTATAATTATTTTACATGAATTGTATTTCTTAACCATAATGTTTTTTATGTAATTGGTATTGTAATTTTATCTCGTGATTTTATACTTGTGTTTATTTTTAGGGTTGCCTTTTTTATACCTGGCTGGGGGACTGCTGATGAAAATTAGCACTCCTTAGCTAACTCGGGTTTATTTACATTGTTTTAATGTTAATTAATGTACACTGTCCTTGTTTATTTGTTTCAAATAAACAATAAAAAAATAAAATAAAAAACAAGCCGGTGAGGTACCAAACAGGAAATACGCATAGTGTAGAGCGGATGTAGAATTGACCAATCAGTGGCCTCCTGTCTGCGGTCACCTGCATTTCTGCGACACACGGAAACACCCTGGTTTCTGAGTCTAAATCAGCCTTCAGTTCTTAACTACCTGCAGATCAGAATGAAGTCCTGCAGAACTCTTGAGTTAAAAGCTTCCAAATCTTTGAAAATGATCACAACAGGAGGATGAGAATCCTGCTCCTCAACAACTGAAGAGCTGCGCTTCTTTCCAGGAGAGCTAAAGCTGGATTTCTGTATTAAGAAAAAAACATTTCCCATGATTACTCTGTTAATTCTTAACACCAACATTAAAATCATCCTCACAAATGTTTCCCTCTTGCCTTAGTTTTTGAGATGTACCAATCACAGAGAGCAGCCAGAGAGCAGTGAATGCTCTTGTGGAGCTGAGCGCCGGAAGGCCTAGTCTCCTCTTCTTCCTCTTCGTCATCCACTGCCACAACTGTATCCATCACTCTCTCAAGCACCCTTTTCATCAGCTGCTTCAAAGCTGAAATAATCAAACCAGACCTCAGTGTGTGAATCTGTGCAATAAAGCGACCGTCTGTGAAGTCTTCACACATTACCTCCGCACTCTTTCGCCTGTAAGGAAACCACATGAGGAGTGACAGAGAGCCGAAGCAGGTCAAACAAACTCTGAAAGGTCATGTCGTGGTCTGGGACATTCACACCTACAGCGGGCATCGATAGAACGCATTTAGCATCGATTTGCTAGAAGCTCTACATAACAGATTCTTCCTTACAGACCCAGCACGAGCGCGGCAGTGGGAATCTCGCTGGCCCTCATCTTGGATGCCCATTGGCTGTGATGGCGGCTGGAGGAGCACTTCCTGGTGAACTCCAGCAGGCTGTCCAAAATGTTTCTGTTGAGCTCGTCCTGCAAAGCCTGAAACAGAAGCACATCCTGATCGGTGCAAGGATATATCAAAAATGGCTGCCGTGAAAATATTCTGACAGCCTGTTTAAAGGAATAGTACACCCAAAACATGATTAGCCTTCATTTTCT